CTAATGACCTGTGATGTCGAAGCCTTATTTTCAAATAAAAAAAAAAAAAAAAAAAAAACAAGATGAATATCTATTATTACGCTAATCCGTGAGTCAGTCCTCTACTTCTATTATTGATTTAATATGATATCATTATAGTGATTATATTATTACCATATAGATAGGAATTTAATGTCTTAAAAACTAAACAATTTACCTAAAAATGTTTACAAAACATGATTCATATGTATAACTTATATATAAAGTATAAATTGTATTTATGTTTTTGAATACAAAATAATTATTTTTAGATTATGAGCAGAGATTTACGATGGAAATTTTCGTTTATGAATGGTTGTTATTGATTATAGGAAAAATAATAAGTAAACATTAGTATTTATTAAATTTTTTTTTTGCCAATGTTTAATTTCGCAGATTAGGTACCTACAAGCTTGCATTAAATCGAATTGTCGCACTTTAATATCAGGTGGTTGAGTTGCAGCGAATTACATCCAAAATGAGTTGAAGATTCACAATTCTTTTTAAGAATTTTTATTTTTCACGGCAATGAAGTGTGCGGTTAGGTTAATTTTTCTCAGGACCGAACAACGATTGGTTAATCTATTGTAAAATGTATACTTACATAGTATATCTCGTTGAGGGAACCATTTTCTCGTCATCACGTTTTTCGGTTTGTCTTTCATTTCACCTTTGTATTTCCATAAAACTCTCTGAGGAACATTTGCTAAGGCTTCTTTGAACAACTGTTCAATATGTTCCGGCAACGATACCTTTAACGGTTGAACCGAATGTGAAGAAAATCACTCCTTGGGGTGAGTCTTCGATAAAATCTAATAATATGACCTTGAATCGAAAATAATAATATTACTTAATTAAAAAACATGATTCATATGTATAACTTATATATAAAGTATAAATTGTATTTATGTTTTTGAATACAAAATAATTATTTTTAGATTATGAGCAGAGCGATGAATGTATTGATTTTACAACGATGTGTGTTTTTTTATTGAAATCTTTTTTTTCTTTTTTTTTGTGTGTCATCACCGCTTGGGACGGTAAAACTGCTTCGATTTTCTTCAACAATATCTTATTTGACGGGAAAGTGGATTTAATTGGTGCATTTGGGAGTTAAAAATTTAAATTCACAATAGTTTTCAAAAGTGCAAGGAAAGACAAAATAAATATTAAGGAATAACGGTAATTATTACTCAAAATAGGTTTGCGAGAAAATAAATTTTGGTTATTGGCTTAAATCATAACATTATTACATAATTTATTGCATAAATTATAAAATTTAGGCATGACGCGGTCCCGCGTAATGACAGTTTGAATTCAAACAGCCCTTACGCGGAAGCCGTGCTGTGGCTACTCAAACAAACCGGTCATAACAAAGTCACTTGTTTTTTCTCAGCGACCCGGAGACGGACCTCGACACCCACTTCCCCCGAGTTTAACACCACTACCGATACCGTTTCGCAATTTATTGTATGACTTCACCACTAATAAAAACCTTAACTACACCAGTGCGTCGTTTTGTTGTGTTCTTCTTTTTTTTCTTTTTTTTGAAACTGTCTTTTCTTTTGGTCACCTTCATGCACCGTCCACGAGGCACCCCACAGGTCCGCATCAGGTATTCACTTATTTTTTTTTGTTTTAAAAAATTGTTTTATATCGTAGACCATTTTACGTAAATTGTATACACTGTAAATAACTTTTTTTAGTCATTATATTTTAAAAACCATAACTAGGTAAAAAAAAATTAGAAAATATGTAAATGTTTTATACTATAAAAATGGTTCGTTATTTTTAATTAGGTTTTATTGGTTGTTATTAAAAATGAATACCACTGTTTTCAATGAATAGTAAATACTAATTAATATGAAATACAATTTTTAACTCATTTTATAGTGTCATATTTGATTTTTTCAAGGAATACTTTGACGTCTTTTGGACATATCTGCATGCAATATTTTAGATTCTGAGTGGAAAGATGAATGTATTGATTTTACAATGGTGTGTATTTTTACTTGTTTTGAGCTATTTACGGACAATTTCATATTTCAATTTTTTTTTTTTTTTCTATGAATAAAGGGCCGAAAAGTGTAGTAATTTAATACAATTCTCTTGATATATTGTTACAATATCAGTTGAAAAATATTAAAATTACATAATCACAATTTTTTTTTATACGCACTTAAAGATCGAATTTTGACAAAATTTATCAAATTTATCAAATTTATAAAAATTCAACTTTTATATCTAAGGATTGAAAATGTAAAACAAGATTCCACGTAAGTAGTTAATTCTGTTACCAAAAAATCTAAAAAATACATAAGAGCAGTTTATTTTTATAGTCATTTTAAGTTCAAATTTGGACGAAATTACATAAAAAAAACCTAGAACAACTATTTTAGTTATTTTGTTGTGATTATATAATATTATTAGTGGGTACTTGAAACTTCTAAAGTACACTATTATAATATATCTATGATAGTATCAGGGTTTGTTGTTGATGTATAATGCGTTATAAGTACATAATGGATATTGTGATATGATCAATTTGGAATTTATTATAGGTATATATCTATCATAGGTAAATTTTTTTTAATACCATAGATAAGTATATAATGTCTTATACTTAGACTGACATACCGTCTCCTCTCAGAATCGTTTTTCCTATACAATGGTATTATATCATTAAATTCAAATTTAATACCTTCCATTATACAGTGACCCACTTGTAACCTAATGTACAGCTGAGCACCTTTTTAGATTTTATAAGATCATAAACATCCTAATCCTATTATATGGGTTATTTTTAAATTTAATTTAATCGGTAATTTAATTTAATCTCACGGTCATTATGAAATGGTCTGATAGTCATGTATGAACCGTTGAGTTAACGGTAATTAAAAACAAATATCGCTCCAGATTAAATGTTGAAGCTGATTTTAGAGTAGCAGTGTCAAATATCAAAAAAAACATAGAATCAATCATGTCTATAATGCAAGCTCTGGTCTCTCATTAAAATAATTAAATCGCAAGTGCTATTGGATATATATGTACAACCATCTTGTAGATAATTTTTGCCTCTGCAATTTTTGTATGAACATTTTTTTTATACAACAAATATAAAGCGAGATATTAACGCAAAGACTACTTGTTATTAACAAATAATTCATATTTCATTAAAAGTGTACATTTTGATGGCCTTATAACTCAAAAATTATAACTTTTACTTGAAAATGTCTTAAGATTTTTTTTTGTATATAATTACTTCCTCTACAATTTATAACTAGAACTTTTTATTGTACGACTCATAAAAAGCGAGATATTAAAAAAAAGGCCAATTTCTAGACCTTTGGCCTCGAATAACCTTTGACGCGTACATGATACATTTTTCACACGTTGTTTACTATCGGCTGAAAAATATAAACTTTTAATTAGTGAAGTGAACATTTCGAAAGATAAATCTAATAAACAACGTCATGACTATTGACGATTAAAGCGGTATGATGTTTTGAATATAATGAGGTCATGAGGAGTACTAAACTTATAGTTCCTTTGAAACCAAGGGAAACAAATATAATATATAATGTAAAAAATGAAGACATATTTGATATTATTCAACAAACACACATTCAAACTGGACATGGAGGACGTACTCGGATGATTAAAGAATGGCAATGTGAGTACAAAAATATTTGAGTTTATGCATTCAATGTCAAACAAAACAAAAAGCACCTAGAAAATGCGCATTGTTGTGAAGCCTTTATAAGTTCAGAGTTAAATTCCCGATGTCAAATAGATTTTTTGATATACAAACATGTAAAGATGGAGAATACAAATTTATTTTGAACTATCAAGATCATTTGACAAAATGTATTCGACCACGGCCATTAAAATCTAAAACTGAGGAAAAAGTTTCCCATAATCTGTTACATATATTTTTAACTTTTGGGGCACCAAATATTTTGCATTATGATAAGGGTGCCGGGTAGGGAGTTTGTGAATAAAATAATCACATAACTGTGTTTAATGTGGGATGGTGTGAACATAGTTCATGGCAAATGAAGCCATAGCCAAACACAAGGTTCAATGAAGAGAGCAAATCGAGATATTTAGAACCTACTAAGAGCATGGATGTCCGATAATAATACTAATAAATGGGTGGATGGTCTATATTATGTTCAATTTACAAAAAATACAGCATACCACGAGGGTATAAAGCAAAGTAAATATGAATATCTCAAAAGGGGTCTGTTTTCGTCTTCTCTTCCTCGAGATAAACTACAGACAATCACAGTAACATATTATATATATTTGGACATCATATAGAAGTCTAATGTTTTTTTTATTAGGAACAGCGGATATTTAAAATATGTATAATCAAAAAATCTAATAGTTATTATCACGTTAATATAAAATAATATAAATTTGTATGTTTTATGTAAAACAATAGATTTTTCTCATAAACTATTCAAATTGTGTAAAAACAATATGTGTAATTAAAATATAATAAATAAACCATTATAATAGAATGTTTAAAATATGAATTCATTGAAAAAAAAAGGAAAAAAAGGAAAAATATGTGGTAACATTTTTTAAGTTATAACCTTACCATCCCAAAACAATTATGTATAGAATAAGGATTTTTCAAACGAATATGTAGATGCATGAAGTTCTAGGTCTTGGTCGTTGAAAACGATTTCTACTATAAATTATCATTATAATATTATAATGATGAAAAAAAAAAAGTTTTCTTTTAATTACACTTAAAAGTTATAATACACAACAATAATTGTTATCTATTTCGTCAAAATAATAATAATTTAGTGATAACAGTTTATATAGTACAAATTGTAAAAGTAATATACTGATAATAGTAATAAAATATTTAAAACAGTATTACAATAAACAATTCGTATAAATGTAAAAAGTAGGTATAAAATATGTACAATGGTGAAATAATTAACTGCAATCGTTGACTACTAGACTCACTGAGTTTTAAACTTATCTTTCTTAAAAGTTTTTATACATTTGAAAACCTTAAAGACAACAAATGTGAATAGAAAAATAAGAATCAACGCTACGGCAATTATATCTAACAAGAGATATTGATACCAAGTGAGGCTCAGAGCGTGAGATATTAAATGTGGCGCGCCTTTATGACGGATTACATACTCCGTCCAATATATGACCGACTGTTGCGGTGTCATCGGCCGGTCTTTGAAACGGTTGGAAGCAATTTTAGCATTTTTCGCGTATCTATAAACAATATATGCACACGATATAATATTGATATTTAACAACGACTATTGAAAAAGAGTGGTAGAGAAATCAAATGTCTCGTTCGTAATAAATAATAATATCATCAAAGGCTTACTTTTCGTCGTTGATGAGTTCCGAAATTGCATTGGACAGTTTTTCTTTGGTCGTCGACAACAGGTCCATGGATATCGCCATTCCATTGAGGACCAAATTTTCAATGTTTCTCGGCTGATCGTAAAACACTGGAATTCCCAATACGGGAACACCGCCATCCACAGCTTCGTACACTCCGGACATACCTCCGTGACTGATAAATAGTTTCACTTTGGGATGTACTGTAAAAATATTATATTTTATTATTTTTTTTAAATTTTTTCAGGAACGAACGACGATAGGTTTATCCAAAGGTTGGCATTAACTAGGTAGTTAAATGTTAAAGTTAAGTTAAAAAGTTAATTTTTTTTTAACTTTTTAACTTAACTAGTTTGGTTTTTTTCTAATCAACTTATGAACTTAACTAGCTTAATTTACAGTTGAAATAACTTAACTTTTTTCAGTTGATTTTATAAAAAATCATCAAGTTAAAAACATTTAAAATTTTTCATTCATACGTAAATATTACTGTATTAGTATTAAATAAAAATAATCCAATACTAAAACACAAACATTTCTGTTTTTTTTCTTGATAACATATAATTTTGTGTATATTAATAAATTTTATTAGGTTATAAATTATATATTATTTGAGTTGCAATTATAAATGTTTCTAATAAAATTAATAATTTTAAATTACAAATTGACAATTGTTATGTTTTACTTAAAATATATGTGAAGTTCATGTACTCATCTTCAAGTATTATGACATTCAATTGCTATACGATATAAAAAAATATATTTGTTAAATTATTAATTTGAATTGAGTTTAGTTTAAATTAGTTAATAATATTAAAGTAAAAGTAAAATGGTATACAGTGTACGTTATGATAAAAGTTCAATAAAATTGTTTTTTATAATTTAAAAATTAAAAACTAGAAAGACACATTAACTCTTCACGTGATTTACATACCAATTAAAAAAAAATAGATTAACTTATTTTAAACTGAGTTAAGTTAATATTTTTTTCTATATTAACTTTTAACTTATCGAGTTAAATTGATAATTTGTCAACTATTAACTTTTAACCTATCGATCTTGTGTCCTCTTAACTTAACTTAACTTGAATTAATTATTATGATTAACTTGCCCACCTTTGGGTTTATCCACCATAAAGTGTACTTACATAATATTTCTCGTTGAGGAAACCATTTACTCGTCATCACGTTTTTCGGTTTGTCCTTCATTTCACCTTCGTATTTCCACAAAACTCTCTGAGGAATGTCGGCAAACGCTTCTTTAAACGATTGTTCAATATGTCCCGGCAACGATGACACTTTAATCGTAGAACCAAATGTGAAGAAAATCACTCCTTCGGGTGAATCTTCGATAAAATCTAATAATATATCCTTGAATCGAAAATTATAATATTAACTACTTCATTAATAACATTATTATTTTTATATATTTATGCATTCCATTGAATATCAGAGAATTTCGTATGAATAAAAAAATTACAAATTTATCTTTTTGAATGAAAAAAAAAATCATTTTTTTTTCTTTCAAATGCACGTAAATTTGAACACAAATAATTTGTTTATTGATAATTGATAAGTTCACTATTGATTCACTATGAATTGACAAAAATTGAAGCAGGATTTTCTAACCACAAAATGAAGATACTACTTTTTCAACAAACCAATTAAAATATTGACACAATATATAATATTAACTGTTACTTATCGGCATTTACGGTAATGGACAGTAAATTTAAGAATAGGCTCATTGTTTTTTGAAAATTACAAGTGATATTTATTATTTTTAAAAATAATAAATTAAAAATTTAGCTTGAAACTAAAAGTGTTGACTTAAGACAAAATAAAAACTGTCTTAAAATATTTTCCGGGTAAAAATTAAGGGGATTGGAAGCAGCGTACTTATTTCTCGTTTTAGACCTCAATGCCTGACAAGATACGCATACTTAATATAATCAGATCTTAATTCTGTAAAACGATTTGAGTTATCGACCTTTTTTTTTAGGTTTTGTGGAAATAGATTTTTAATATTTCTTTAAAAATTGTTCTCAAATCTTGGATAAGTTTTTAATTTTTTTAAAATTTTTAGATTTACTTTAGTGTCTTTTTTAAGAAAGTTAAATAGTTATTCTAAAATCGACCTCCACAATAACCTAGAAAAAAAGTCGATTAACTCAAATGTTTTTACAGAATTTAAATCCAATAATTTTGAGTTGGTGTATTTTTGTCTGGCTTTTAGGTCTAGATTGATTAAAATTAGTTCCCCGTTGGAATAAAATATTTTATTTCATCAAATGCAATGACTTGTTCATGCGCATGCGAACCGTTAGTTGTTAACCAGAAATTGTAATGAATATCCCACCGTTATTGAATATACAAGTAGTATAGCAGGGGCGCACTGGATACTCACACAAATGTTTATTTACTGCTCACACAACATCACTACGCTACTTCACGGATAAACTAATCATCTATCGTTTACTCCTTAGAAACAGAGCGCTTCCGGTCCCCTTAAATCAGTATGTTGGAATTAATTTAGATCTGACTTACAACATTTTAAAATAAAATAATAAATATCGATTATAGGCATTTTATGACACTTGAATCTGAGTGAGTAACACTAACCCTACTTACTATCGATAAATTTTAAATCGATTTCATATTTAATTAAATATGTTTTCAATAGTGTTATTGGAGTAAAATTCAAGTCAGTACATACTACGTTGGAGTATAAGAGTATTTTTCTCCAAAAATCGGTAATTCTGTGTAATCTCCACAGCACTGTAATTTATCTTTCACTCACTTTTGGTATGGTGTTGGTGGGTTCAGGTGTATTCCACCCACGTAGATAACATTCGGCGTAACCGGGCTCGGTGACTCGGTGACGTAGTAACTGTTCTGGAAGATTATGGACGGGTTGACGGTCGGCGCCAGGTCATACGGTCTCGGGTCCGTGACCAAGTTGATCAGCTGGTCGTACTTCATCTTGGCCATGCTGTACGTCAGCAGCGCCGTGTTGGTGAACCTCTGGAGGAATGTGCCGGGCACGGCGTGGCTGGCCAACATGTTGGACACGCAAGCCGGGTTGGACAAGTGACCGGTGAACCACCGCTCGGCGAAGGTGATCATCGGCGATGGGATCGAGTAGATCACAGGCAGATCGAGCGCGTTGGCCAGGTACGAAACGCAGTCTAAGCCCAGCGGCTCGATTAAAAGGAGGTCGTATAGGTGACGTGCCTCGGAAGCTATCAGGTCAGCCAGCTTCTGGTTGCCGTAGATTGCGTCGCAATAGATTCGTACCACTCTGGACCTCTCATTCATTAACACGACCGGATCTCCAAATTCCCGGATCGTCTGCATCACATCCATTTCAAGTCTCATTGGAAAGTATCGGGACGTATCCACCTCCGTGTAGTTTATCCGGTCACCGTCTAGAAACGGCGTGAAAACGGTCACTGTGTGTCCGGCGTCCGTCAGTGACCTGAGCACCGAGCTCATGAAGTACCAGTGGCTCTTGCCCGCCACTGTTTCGACGGCAAGTATCCCGAGCAGCCTCCCCGACCGGCATCTTCCGCAAGTCAACCGACAACCATAAAAACAACGACAGCCAGACCACGGTTGACATATTCAGCGTTGCTATAGGAATTTTTGTACAGGTATTTTTGTATATGTAGACAAAATGTATAATATAGGTATGGAGTAGCACCAAGCGTATATTATATGAGTTTGAGCCAGCTTGAAGAGCTGTGGACTCGAACTAATATAATAACTATAGTATCATACAGCCTAGTTTAGGTACCAGATACCCGAAGCATTATAGTATTAGTATAATACTATTATAAGTGTTTACGATAACGTGTTAACAACCATATAATATCCGAAATAATTATACCAGTTGCCTACTGCTTGCTCGTTTATTTAGCTGAAACTGACTTCCAATGCCGTTTGGATTTCATTAATTTCGAACGATTAAAAAAGTTTTGTAAACAGTTATTTTACGATTATAGTATGAGACATTATCACCGTATCTTTTTACTCGAACGTCCCAAAGACATGTGTTTTAAATAGGTATAAAATAAAGAAGTATTTTGAACATTTTGAGGGGCGGAAAATTTTTAGTATTTAGTATTTAATTACATTTTGTTTTGCATACTTACCTAATATTAATATATATTTTATTCTAGAAAAACTTTATTGTAGGAGCGTTCATTATCACATTTTCATACATCAAATAAAATAAAATTAGTAAATAGTTACTAATCAGTAAAAATTGTTTCAGATCTGAATTTATAACATGCGAAGAAAAATTCATCACAGAGAATCAAGTTTCAAATAACCATATTTCCCTCCGTGCAGCCGCAACAAAAGTATAGCGGGGTAGGGGCAAGGCTCTGTGAGATGAGCATGTAAAACGTCCTGCGGAATAAATCGGTGTTTATGCAAAAAAAAATAAAATACTATGCAATTGTAAATGCCATGATAGTTTGTCCTGTGAAAATAAATAATATAATAAATTCCTATAGTAATTATTTTAATTTGTACTTAAATTTTTACTTTCCCTAGTTAAAACAAGTTAAACCTATCAAAATAAAAATTATAGATTTTAACTAGATAATTCTAGTTTTCACCAAATATTTTAGATACAACTAATTCTAACAAAATAAAAATTAATTAAAACTAGTTTTGACGGTGAAGGTCTTAGTAAATTCTAGTTTTAACTAATTAAAACCAGAACTGACTAAAGGGATTTGTGAAAACTAGTTTCAAACGGATTTCTGGTTTTAACTGTAACAAATATAATATATTAATATAACTATAGAGATAGCATTTTATTGTCTTAAAAACTCCAAAATATCTCCGATATGTTTTATTAATAACGACTAGTTAATTTTTTTATCTTCATAATAATAATTTAACAAAATTATATATACCATATACCTCGGAAATTGGAAGTAGAAAACTATGGTTGTTAACTTATGCTGTTTAATTGATACACTTTTTTTTTCGATTGCACTTATATTTAGTTTAGTACTCCGTATATTACCACATACACGATACACAACAACCATAACTCTTACATAAAAATATTAACAATAGTAATAACGATATACATATAATATCACAACAATATTAAAAGCAATAGTGATAATAGTAAAATATAAACACTACACAATTTGTGTCCAATGATGCGGTATTTTGGTTATCATTATGACAATCGTTGACTACTAGACTTACTCAGTGGAGTATACAATTGGGGGGACGTGGGGGTCAGATTCCTCCATTGAATTTTTATTACCTTACTAAAAAGGTTTAAGTTGGTGGGGGATTTTCCGATTTTCCAATTTTCCCGTTTTCGTTTTTTTTTTTTTTTGATCCCTCCACTTTCAAAAATCATGTCTACACCACTGGACTTACTGAGTTTTAACTTTACTTTTTGTAAAAGTTTTTATACATTTAAAAACCTTAAAGACAACAAATGTGACTAGAAACACAAAAATCAACACTACTGCAATTATATCTAACATGAGGTATTGATACCAAGTGAGGTTCAGAGCTTGAGATTTCAAATGTGGTGCGCCCTTGTGACGGATTACATACTCCGTCCAATATACGACTGACTGTTGCGGTGTCATCGGTCGGTCTTTGAAACGGTTGGACGCAAATTTAGCATTTTTTGCGTATCTATAAACAATATAGGTACTCACATAATATAATATAGATAATAAAATAATTATGATATAATACAACACAATATTATATTATATTATATTATACTTGAAAACGAGTGGTAGAGAAATCAAATGTCTCATTCGTAATGAATAATACATCAAAGGCTTACTTTTCGTCGTTTATGAGTTCCGAAATTGCATTGGACAGATTTTCTTTGGTCGTCGACAAAAGGTCCATGGATATAGCCATTCCATTGAGAACCAAATTTTCAATGTTTCTCGGCTGATCGTAAATTACTGGAAATCCCAGTACGGGAACACCGCCGTCCACAGCTTCGTACACTCCGGACATACCTCCGTGACTGATGAACAGTTTCACTTTGGGATGTACTGTATAAAATATTATATATTAATTTTTAATTTTTCTCAGGAACCAACAAAGATTGGTTGATCTATCGTAAAATGTATACTTACATAGTATATCTCGTTGAGGGAACCATTTTCTCGTCATCACGTTTTTCGGTTTGTCTTTCATTTCACCTTCGTATTTCCATAAAACTCTCTGAGGCATGTTGCCCAACACTTCTTTAAACGACTTTTCAATATGTCCCGGCAACGATGACACTTTAATCGTGGAGCCGAATGTGAAGAAAATCACTCCTTGGGGTGAATCTTCGATAAAATCTAATATGTCCTTGAATAAAAAATTATGATGTTACCTTATTAAAAAAAAAAAACTATTATTCTCATATATTTATGCATGCCAATGCATTTACAGATACTTTCGGATAATTTACGTTTTTGATAACAAAAAAATCATTTTTATTTTCCAAATCCTCTTAAATTTTAACACGATAAAGTTAGTTATGTATTGACAAATTGTTCACATTTGTTTTTCACAATTTATTTTTCCATCCTTTCATATCAAGCCTATAGATTTTATGTAAATAAATTTTTTGATGTAACAGAAAAAATTAACAACTGTAGAATTGTACTTCTATTACCTATAGAGTATCCGGTACGCACTTTATAATTACAGTTTAAATTATCACGCCAACACCACGACCGTGTGGCTTATGCTTATGCTATATTATGCAATAAAATCCAATGAAAAAAATAGTAATTGTTATAATTTCAATAATAAATACTATCTTAAATCCTAGACATAAGTCTATTATTGTAATTGGGTTCTCTCGTTTAAATATATAAATAAATAAAGATAGTTTCGTAACGGACATTCTTCCAACCTATTTTTATAGAAATACATATCCAAATTATTTTATCTATATATATAAAAATGGAGACAAAAAATTCGAAATTGCATCAGTTGAGACTTGAGAACGGCTGGTCCGATTTTGCTCAAATTTTTTTTAAGATGTTCGTAATTACCAGCCACCAGGTGAAGGTTTTTACGAAAGAAAATTTTTAAAAAGTCAACCGAATAATTAGAAAAACTGCAAAAACTATTTATTGATGTCTGGGATTTGAACTCGATACCGTTGTCTTTATTTATTCTATGGTGTATTATATTATATTGGTTGCTATTGGTTAATCGGACATGTTTGTTGATTTGTATTATTATTTTTTATAAATATATCTTATATATAAATGAATGACGGTGTTTAGATTAGACCTATGGGAAGAAGATACGCTAATTTAAAAAGGGTTAAATTTGGTTTTTTTTATTCATCGGATTTTAGTACGGTTAGGTTAGGTTAGGATTTATAGGTAGGTGGAATTAAGTAAAAACGTCAAACTTGGTATAACTTTGGTACTTTTTGAGTTAAATCATACACTTACGTACAAACAGCACGGGGTCCGCGATCTACCGCAGGTAAATTACCTATCTGATAATGTACTGCTGCAATTCAGAATTTTTATTCCGGGCAACAGAAAAGTTAAGATAAATCTAGAACATCATACACCGAATATTAAATAACGCATTGAACAATGTTTGAGTCATATAGAGTTGGTACATTTAACGGGAAACGAAGTGCACGGGATCAGCTAGTTTTATTATAATTTCAGAGTTTTAATATGGGTTTTTGGGTAAAACCACCATAAACACGAATACTATACTGAAAGATAGACTGATTTATTGATAAATAAATATGACGATGAAAAATATCTTTTAGTTTACAGAATTTATTTAAGTACCTACTGCTGTTATTAGACATGCGTTATTATCTAAGTAATTATACTTAAAGCCTTAATTTCTCACAGAAAGCAATATACTCGGGTGCACAACGTACCTGAGAAACATTTTTTTTTTAAATTTCAAGTGAGATTTTTTCATTTCAAGTATAATACTTCAAAAAATTAACTCGAAGGATTTAAAGTTGACTTCACAACAAAATAAAATATGTTTTCAAATAACTATTCTCGGTGTACAACTTAAGTCAGATGTTTGGAACTTGTTTAGATCTGATTTACAACATTTTGCCATAAAATAATTACGATTCTAGGCATTTAATGACACGAAATTAGGTATAATGATTTATTTTATCGAATGCAAGCGCGTAAAACTAACCACCCTCACTGTCATTTGTCAATGTATGCAAAATCGACTTTATAATAAATTAAAATATTTTTATTGGAGTGATACTCAAATCAGTACGTTGGAACACGTATAAAGTGTATATTTCTCCAATAATCAGTGATGCGAAATTCCAATAAAAAGGTAATTTATCTATCACTCACTTTTGGTATGGTTTTGGCAGGTTTCAGGTGTATGCCACCCACGTATATAACGTTCGGCGTGACCGGTCTTGATGACTCGGTGACGTAATGACTGTTCTGGAAGATTATGGACGGATTGACGGTTAGTGC